TTATGAGAATTTTTTTCTTGATCTCTCCACTACCACTGATCTCGTCGAGGTGCGGCGACGACCTGTTTTATTATTTTGTCCATGATTTTTTTCTGTCTTAGATTTTCACATAAATATGTACTTTCTTATTCTTATTTTTCTATTTCCCATTCTGCTTTTTTTGTAAGATGATTGTAGTTTTTCTTTGATTTTCTACGTTACCATTCATAAATTAATTAAAAAGAATTCAATCGAACACTATAATTATAGTTTTTTTGTGATTTTCCACGTCACCATACATAGATTAAGTAAAAAGAATTCCATCGAACATTACAATTGTAGTTTTTCTTCGATTTTCTACGTCACCATGCATGCCACCTAAAATCTATATAGTCACAAAGAAATATCGACATCCTGCCTCATGCATACCACTTAAAATCTATACAGTCATAATTCCCTTCAAATTAATCGTTGAAGACACAATTAAATTCCAAAAACACTGTCTGCATCCTAGAACAGTGAAGCATCCTATCACCACCAGGAAAACATCACTCCTCCCAGTTTACAATGAGTTTGAAGTATTAAATTGTCTCAGTGCTCTCGTACAGAAGTTAGTTTTGACAAGTAAGAGCAGATCATATCCAATGGTTTACAAGCTTTTGACTTTGGTACTAATTCTTCCGTTTGCTACTGCTACGGTAGAGAGAGTATTTTCTGCCATGAACATTGTAAAGGATAGATTGCACAATCGAATTGGAGATGAGTGGATGAATGATAGTCTTATTGTTTATGTGGAGAAAGATATATGCTTAAAGATGGATAATGAGGCGATTGTACAAAGATATCAAAGTATGAAACTCGTAAAGAACATTATAAGGTATTTCATTTTGGTATAATGTTTTTGTTATAATTTTTTTTTTTTTACTAATATCGTCCACACTGAAAAATTGCTTGAGTCTGCCATTGGTGGACGGTACATATAAAAAGTTTAAGTATAATTTACAAATAAATAACATGTTTGGGACTGCAACTATAATTAATCATTTTTAATTTTGGCAATTTTAGCTATTAAACTAACAGAATTGGACAGTAGAAGAATTTTTTGTGCCTAAAAAGTTGTATTACACACTAAAGATTTCAAATAAAGACACTTTCCACTATTTCCAATAAATAGAGTGCTTTTCGCACATCTTCTAATAGGTAGGAAAGCTTTCTACTATTAAGGTCATCTCCAGCGTTGCACCAAAATTTGCATCAAACTAAAATTCATCTCCAAAGTGTTTAATAATTTTCTTCTCTTTTCTTATTCTTAGTAATTTGTTTATTTGAAATATTATTTATTTATTTATTTTAGAAATACATAAGTTACTAAATAAATAATTGATTAAGGAAAATATTAAATTCATTAATAAATACATTATTAAAACATAGTACAATTACATCTTAGTGAAGTTTTTATTTTTTACAATTTAGTACGGTAATTTTTATCACGTGACGTAAAGCTTAAACTTATAAATGATATTATGAAGTCGAAATATCATTACAATTTAATTCTCGAAATTCGTATGTTTTTCCCACAAATGATCGATTAATGCATTTCGAAGTGCGATGTGAGCATCTTTATCCGTAATTTGTCTATGACGAGCAACTAATTCTTGAAAACGATGATTTTCGTCTTCAACCAACTCAACTTCCGGACTTGGCACTTCGGTCCATTCTCGAACTGGTGCATCAACATTACGTTCGTCCTCGATAATCATGTTATGTATGATTATACATGAAGTCATGATATCATGTAATACACGTTTTTCCCAAAACCTTGCCGGTCATTTCATTATTTCAAACTTCAATTGTAGAACACCAAATGCGCGTTCAACATCTTTTCTACACGCTTCTTGTTTCATTACAAATAATTTTTTTTTTTGGGACCGCATTGCTCATGAATTGTTTGCACAATGGTAGACCATTTTGGGTATATACTATCAGCTAGATAATAACCCATGTTATATTGTTTTCCTTGAATGACATATTCAATCGGCGGAGCAATATCTTGAGCGAGGTTTTCAAAAAGATGAGATCTCCCCAAAATGTTGATATCATCGTTTGAACGTGGAAGTCCAAAATATGCATGTCATATCCAAAGATCATAATCAACTACAGCTTCGAGGATAATAGTTGGGGATCCACTACGACCTATATATTATCATGCACACGTGGTTGGACAACTTTTCCATCTCCAATGCATACAATAGACTTTGAACATCCTGGGAAAACCACGTTGTTTATTAACATGAAGTAGTCTGTCAACGTCATTCTCAATAGGTGATCTTAGATACTGGTCAGCGAATATTTCGACAACAGTATGACAAAATCTCTTTAAACTTTTAATACTAGTAGATTCTCCTATTTTGATGTACTCATCAGTAGCATCTGCTGACACACCATATGCCAACATCCGAAACACTATCGTTACTTGATTACGCCCAAAGAATAATGCGATAGTTGTAGCACAGCTTTAGGGTGTCGTATCCACAGGAAGATGGAAGAATATTTAAATGATCAAAAATGCTGAATTATTCTCTCAAATGTGTAATAAAATTTAATGTTGAAATGTGAAATTCAAAATCAATAATTCGAAGCAGTGAAGCATCGGAATTCCCTCAATTGGATTGGATCAATCATATCAACTATTCATTTTTATAACACAATTAGAGGCTTTCATCCCGACACTCTAATCGGAAGATATATCATGAAAATCAATTTAATTTACAAATGTAATTTTAGAATTTAGATTTAAGACATATTCACACAATTTTATTGGAACAAGATCAAAGATCGACCATATACATCAAGCATAAGGCAGTAATCAATCCGCCAATAAAGTGAAATTGAGATTAAAATTCAACATTTAGTTTAATCTAACGATAGAAGAAGCAGGACTAGATCAATGAAGGATATAATAATTGTTAAACCAATCCCCACAATAAATAATTGAAATTGAAACTCAATAAATAGTTTGATTGGACAATGGAAAAAACATGACTAAATCTATGAAAAATCTTGTAAATATTAAACGAATTTCAATATAAATTCAAAAGAATGAAAATCTAAATTATAGGATTGTTTGACAATGTAAAGATCAAATTAAATGAATAAAAGACATGAATTCACCAATTCCAACCGAGTTCTTTCGTAGCTTCACCAAGGGTTTTAGTCCTCCATGAGTTTCTTGAGCCAAAGAGGAAAAGTATGGTGCATGGGGGCCTCTTCCATATATATTTTGCTGTTGAGTATTTGTAGGAGTCAGAAATTGGATAAAAATCACGTCCAAAATGGTTTCCAAAAGAGTTCTAATTGAATAAGGAAAGTTGCCTTCGCACGCGAATTTTTTATTTCTGCATAGCAGTCAGTAATTTGATTATAACTTTCTCTTCCAATATCCAATTTAGAAGAATTAAAATGCGTTGGAAAGAAACCTCAAATAGATACAACTTTGCTAGAAATAGATCTTTTCCAATTTGGACTTTTACTATGCCAAAAATGGGTTTCAATATTCGGCTAAAAATCTGGAATACATCTTGTGCGAATTAGAAATTGATTTTATTTCATATTTTGATCATATTCCATTCTATTTTAATCATATTTTGATCAAACCTTCATTGTGAGCCCCGACACAATTTTGAGTATTTTCATTTTAGCCCCTGAACTTTCACTTTCTTCCATTTTGGTCATTTTTCATTTGTTTCTTCTTATTTCCGCTACATTCATCACTCGTCCTGCAAAACATAAATTACATAGAATTAAGTTATATTCCAACATATTAATCAACAATTGCTCATATTTTTACAATAAAGTAAGTATGTAAAAAGGCACTTATCATTACCTTCTGATGACTAAACAATCCAAGTTTACCTATCCTATCTCGTTTCTGCACGAAATAGTTGTGATGACCTTCCACCTCTGTTAGTATTCGACTAAATAAACCTTGAGACATTCAAAATCGTCGATGAAACATATGTTCGTCGAAACGTGGGTTCTCGATGAATTGATCGTTGAAGAGATTTACATCTGTTGTTTGTCGATCACTGTTGATGATTCTACGACCATGAATGGTGCCTCTATGTGCCCGTTGGTTATCATGTTGATTAGCGTATTGAGCTATGAGTAGGTTTCTGTTAGAACATATGCGAGTAATAGCTTGTTGTTGTTCATCAAGAAAATCATTATCATTTTTTCCATCGGACAATGACGATGAACTCGAATCAGACACATAAGAGGGACATATAATATTGAAATTAATTTTTGAGTGGTATGTTTGAGGAATGAAGATTGCTCGACCTCAATACTGCCTTTTATTGAAATCCTTGTCCACTTGAAGATGGATATCTAGGCAAATTCATCTACACTGTTAGATTGGATTACGTCAAGATCTCAACCATTCAATCTATATATAATCAAATCTTATCATGATCCACTTGAAGACAGGATATCTAGGCAAATTCATCTCCAATGTCAGATCGGATAACTTCAAGATCTCAACCATTCAATCTATATACAATCAAATCTTATCATCGTCTACTTGAAGATAGGATATCTAGGCAAATTCATCTCTACCGTTAGATTGGATTACGTCAAGATCTTAACCGTTTAATCTATATATAATCAAATCTTATCCTATATATCATTTTGTCTATAAAATAGCTTACCATCTTTCACAAGATCTTACCTTCAATTTCTCAAGCTTCCCAAGTTAATATCAGCTGCCATTTTCAATAATCTTCCTCAATAATAAGTTCTGTTCCACGAAATTCTTCATACTCGCACACCGAAGATGTACACCTATGTCAAGTCTATCTTGATATCTCCCAAGATCCAATGATAGGTATAAACCAATCAAGGGACCAATTCTGGTCTCGAGTGGAGAATGCGTACAACACAACACTGCCTTCATTTATCACTCTTACTCGACCAAAAAGATCTCTAATAAGTGAATGCAAGTTATTAATGATGTCGTTAGCAAAATGCAAGGATGTGTTCGGCAAGTGGCACTTTTGAATCCAAGTGGTGCATCAGATAAAGATATCGTGAGTATTACTCGTAATGTATGCTTTCAAATGTTAAGTTTATGTTAAGTTAATGCTACATTATCTTTGTTTTGTAGATGTTTCGAGCCAAAATGATATTATCTCACCAGAATTACGAGAAATTGTTCAAATTTGAGCACGTTCCACCTATGCTTAAAGATGTCAAAAAATTTGGAGATGAAGTTAACACGGCTAGAGTAACCTACCATGGAAAAAACGTTGTTAAAATTGCATCGTCATGGCCAGCTTCATCATCAGAGGATCGCACCTCAACGCATTCAACATCCTCTGAATTCTCTTCGTTTTCTCTCAATATAAACGAAGACAATATTGACGATACTTCAACTCAACGATCTATAGGGGTAAAAAAAGGAAAACTAAAAAGGAAAAATGAAGACGAAGGTATAAAATTACTGGAATCCATTAAAGAAGAGAATCGATAACTCGTCAAAATTCTGAAAAAAAAAAATAGTGATGAAAGACATCAAAATTACAAAATTCAAAAAAGAAAATTGGTAATGGCAGAATATCGTGAGGAGAACAAAATTTTGTTGAAAGATTTGAATATGATAACAGATCTAAACTCACGTTTGTTCTTTGAAAATGAACAAACAAGAATTTTACAAAAGAGAGCTCAACAGCAAGATAAATAATCTGAAAGTTCATCTGATTTATTTGGAAATTTTTTGAGGATATCTGATTATCTGGAAGCGATCTTTCATAATACTAAACTATGCACTTGTTTTATGTATCGCTTTCTTTAAAAAAACTAGTTTAATGTAGGTATATGATTGTTGTAATATATTTCGTGTTATGGTGTGTACTATCGCAAGCACCCAAAAGTAATACCTTAACCTCTAAAACTAATGTAGTAGTTGATGTAAGGGTCGATTCCACGAAAAGTGTATAATTCAATATTTTATATTACATACAATGACTGATGGGTTTTTGTATGCAAACAATTGTAAATAATGTAATCAATAACAATGAAAATTAAATGAACGGAAACAATCAAAAGACTAGCCTTGGTCTAAGTCCATATCCACCGTCGAAAATCCACGATTGATCATAGATGCAATAATAATTCAATTCATATTATGGATATTCATCGTTGGAATTGATTCTTATTTCTCCTTAATTTTAGTTAGTTAGAAATCAATGTTCTAATTAACCCTAATTATTAAATAACCCCAAACTAGCGCTCAAAATTCAATTTAATAACACATTTACACAATAGAGAAATCGATGAATTAGATAACACAAACACCAGCAGTTGCATTCAATCTATTTAAACATTCTTCTTAAAATTCAATAATCTCTATCAAATCCTAGTGTTTCACAAGTTAAAAGGATCAAACAATTACGGATTTGATATTTACTTAGCAATATATTTTAACGAATAACAAACTAGTAGGCCTCCTAGCAATTAAACATAACAATCATGAAAACAAGTGCAGAAAAATATTTAATGCGCAAAATAAGAATTAAATAATAAGAAAAACTATTTAGATCTCACAATAAGTGGTTCCAATGCTTTAATTTCCTTCTACCAAGTGTAAAAGTTTAGTTACAATTCAAGAATCTAAGAGAGAAATAAAGAAGAATGGAGTTTGGAGGCGTTCTCCCCAATCTAGGGTTTTAAAATATGTATTATTATTGTTTTCATAGGTAGTTGACTTAAATTAAGAAATCAGAAATTTTTCTCCTATTTGGCCTGGGCGGGTGCCCAGTAGAAAATGGGGCGACCGCCCAGGCATAGATTTTGGTTTCTATTAATGAAGTTTAGGGTTGGGCGGCATAACTGAACATCCTTCAGTGTTTTAGTCATATCTTTCTCTCCTAATATCCGATTAATTTGATTCAAGATACGTTGGAAATGTAACTCAAAGGGCTACAATTTTTCTTTAGATATCATCTTCCAATTTGATTGTTTACCGTATCAGAAATGGGCCATAACTTTTTGATTGAAAATTGATGTGTGATCCTACTTTAACGATATTTCACCCCTTTGACTTTTTTCTTCATTCAATTGACTTACAACACTCTCAAATATTCATCATTTGATTGGACAGAACTTTTGCGTATTTTCACGTTAGTTCTTGAACTTTCATTTCCTTTCACTTTGGTCCTTTTTCATTTATTTCTTCCAAATTATGTCATTTCCATTGAATTGCCACATAAATCAAAATATATAGGTAATGAGTACATTTTCATATTAATTAATCATATGAGCACATAAAATAAAGAGGGAAAAGTATGCATTTTGCATTCCTATCAAATTCCCCTACATTTGACTTTTGCTCGTCCTCCGGAAAACTCAATTTTAGTTTCCCAAAACACCCCGGTCGTAATTCCTTGAACATAGAGCAATCAAACTCTTTAAAACACACAACACATCATAAATAAATATTCTCACACAACTCATAATCAATTAGCAAGTATTTTCATATGAAGATGGAGTAAACTAAACATGTAGATCCTCATGGATATCAGTACTCAACTCTCATGTGTTTAAAAGGTAAGTGTTTCGCTCAAATTCATTCCAATGGAGATGCTCTACCATATGCTTGCATGTTCTCATTCGCCACCACTTATGTTGCATGCTTAGCAAGAATCATAAGAACTTTTCAAGGTTGTAACGTGGCTTAGGGTCAAGGTCGAAAATATTTGGGTATGTGACTTAAGAGCCATCGAAACTAGTGGAGCAAAAATGAATAGACTTAGTTCAAATATATACATAAGACATGTAAAATCAACCACTCCACATAATAGCTTCTTCACTTCGTATCTATCCCACACAATCCGAACCCTTTCTTGAGATGTACAAAGAGTTATGAACATAGATATTTTGTAACATTGACATCACTTTCCTCCATCACTTATTTTCTTTTTCTTTTTTTCTCTTTTTTTCCTTTTTTTTGGCACAATGTAAACTCCAAGTGATACACCAACAATAGAACTCCATGAATTGACATAGAAANCTTCCACAAATCATAGCACTACCAAAAATTTTAACACCCTCACACTTATTTTCTTGCACACCCACACATATCATGATGATGAACAATACTCCATTACCTCTAAGGCTTGGGTAAAGACGTTATTTTTTTCCTGTTTAAAGCTTGTAACGTGGGTTTACACAAAGAAAATGCAATAAGGCTCAAAGGGGTTCATCAAAGGAAAATTCAATTACATGATAGGCTATTTGTCTAATTTATCTAATTTATGTAATAAAGATGTCCTTAATCATGTTCGTCCATTCATGTGTCAATGTGATCTTGAAAAGAATTAAGGCAAGTTCTAGAGAAATAAAGTCATGAAAGAATATCACATATGAAAGAAATAATGAGACTGCATTGGATATGTCAGTCTAAAGGCTCAAAGTCTCACCGATTTTTTTTGTGTACAAAATTTAGTTACCACCATCCTCAAAGAAAATAACTCAACTAATTAATTCTAAGTTGGAGGATTATTCATTTAATCATGTTATGAGTTCTTGAAAAATCTAATTAATTTTAACAAATAGTATACACAATCCAAAACAATCATTTAATTCTCAATTCATTTTCTTGAAAAATCATGCAAAAATTTGTGAAATTAAACTCGCTCAAAATTTAAATGTAATAAATCTAAATATCTAAATCCCTTCCCTCACATTTAAAACTTACATTGTCCCAATGTAAAGTGCAATGCCAAGAAAAAGGCAAAAATAACACAAAATAACAAAGGAATGCAAAATAAAAAAATAAAAGTAAAAATAAAAAGATAAATGAACGAACTTCCCTTGAGTTGCCTCCCAATCAGCGCATTTGTTTATTGTCTTTGACTCGACTCAATATTTTCTAGTTCAGCCTGGATCTATCATGGACGGTTTCGATCTTCCTTGCGGTACACTAAGTCCATTGGGAATGATAATTGGCAGTGTTCCTCCACCTCCATGGAATGTACACTTCTGGTGACTCGATAGGGCTTCAAATCTGAAATGAAGTCTGCAAAATAGTAAGTAGAGGCCTCTCATTAGAAACTGGTAAAACAAAATAAGAATTGTTACCTGAATGCTGTAGCTTTAGAAGATTGTTTAATATTGCAACAATTTCTTGCAACTCAGTGTTCAAAGTCAACTTCTGGTTTTCCTTCCCAAGATGCTCATAATTGACAGCTTTCCATTTTTTTTTTTTTTTTTGCATCAAATTCAAAAACATCATGTGTTAATTGATCAATCACATCAATAAAATGAATATGATTATTATTACACGGATATTTTATGAAATTGTAGATATTAAATTTAATGATCTTATCATCAAATTTCATGATCAATGTGTCATTATTAAAATCCATTTCAGTTTTTGATGTCTTAAGAACGGTCTTTCTAACAAGATAGGGGTATTATGAATACTATTAACCATGTCGAGCACATAAAAATCAGCAGGGAAAATCAAATCATCAATTTTCATAAGAACATCCTCAACTTGACCAATAGGTAATTATCACACCAGTGTCATTTAAAGGCCCAAGTTTCAAAGAAGCGTATACAGAATATGGCATGACATTAATAGATGCTCCTGAATCTATCATGACGTTTTGAAACTTAGTGTTGCCTATTGTGCAAGGGATAGTGAACACGCCAAGATCAATGCATTTTACAGGAAGTCTCTTTTAAATAATTGCAGATACAATCTCTCCAACTTTAACCTTTTCAATTCCCTTTAGTCTCTGTTTCCTCTTACTTATGCACAATTGTTTTAAAAATTTAGCATAACGAGACACTTGTTTAACGATAGCTAAAAGTGGAATATTAACATCGTATTTACTGAAAATTTCATGTAGCTCATCATAATCTCGTTCATATTTTCTAGATCATACTAAAACTTGAGGGAAAGGGAGTACTTGTTTATAATTAGAAAGAGGTAGAAACTTAAGCATAGTTACCTCAGTATCGTTGGGAGCGCTCTATTCTGCTGTGGTATATTCTTCATTTCCTTCCTTCGATGATGTAGGGGCTATCTTCATTGGAGCTTCAACCTCCGTGCCACTCCTCAACATGATTGCACTTACATTTTCCTTTGAATTTACTATCGTTTGAGAGGGTAGTTTTCTCGTATTCTGTGACTCCAACCGACTGACTGCGTTAGCCATTTGACCTATCTGTTTCTCCAAACATTGAATGCTAGCCCTTCTCTTCCTTTGAAATTGTAAAGTGTTAGTGGCCAGAGATTTAACAATATCTTCTAAAGACATACCACAGTTAGAGGTTTGGCCCTGTTGTTGTCTAGCAGGGTATAACTGATTATATTGCAGGAAATTCTGTCGATTTTGATTCATAGGTTGATTCACTTGTCAATTCTCATAGCTAATATTTGGATGATCCCTCCATCCTTGGTTGTACGTGTTTGAATAAGAATCATAATTCCTCTGTGGTTGTCCAGGAAAACCACTTACTGCATTTACATATTCAATGGATTCTTCTTGAAGTGTTGGACACATATCGGTTGGATGGCCTACAAATGAACAAATTCCATAAGCTTTTACTGTTTGCACATTACCTGCGACCATTCGACAAATAAGAATAGTTAGACTCGCAAGTTGTTGTTCAATGGATGAGACATTTACATCATTATCATATGTCGATGGCATGTCGAGTCTAGTGCCGAATTGTTGAGAATTGACAGTCATATTTGCAATCAAGTTCCTTAAACTATCAAGAAAATTCAAAAAAAGATATGACAAACAAGTTAAAAAAACTAGAATAAGAAAAACAAATAAAATTCTATGCTAAAATTCCTAAAAACAATAAATTGCTTAAATATCTAGAAATTTGTGATTTTTTTTCAAAAATAAAATAAAATAATTAAAGAAATACAAAAATAAATTAGCACAACTCCCCGACAACAGCTCCAAAATTTGGTGTGTACTGTTGCAAGCTGGTAAAAGTAATACCTTAACCTCTAAAACTAATGTAGTAGTGAAAGTAAGGGTCGATCCCACGAAAAGTGTGAAATTCAATATTTTATGTTTTATACAATGATTGAGGGTTTTTGTATTCAAATAATTGTAAATAACGTAATCAATAATAATGAAAATTAAATTAATGAAAACAATCAAAAGATTAACCTTGGTCTAAGTCCACATCCACTATCGGAAATCTATGATTGATCATGGATGCAATAATAATTCAATTCATATTTTGAATATTCATCGTTGGAGTTGATTCATATTTCTCCTTAATTGTAGTTAGTTAGAAACCAACGTTCTAATTACTCCTAATTATTAAATACCCCCAAACCAGCGCTCAAAATACAATNAATTCATTAACCTCTATCGCAGAAAATTATCAAATCCTAATACTTTGCAAGTTAAAGCGATCCAACAATTACGGATTTGATATTTACTTAGCGATAGATTGTAACGAATATCAAACCAGTAGACCTCCTAGCAATTAAATATAACAACCATGAAAACAAGTGCAGAAAAATATTCAATACGCAAAATAAGAATCAAATAATAAGAAAAACGATTAGATCTCACAGTATGTGGTTCCGATACTTCAATTTCCTTCGATCAAATGTAAAAATTTAGTTATAATTCATGAATCTAAGAGAGAAATAAAGAAGAATGAAGTTTCGAAGCGTTGTTTTCCCCATTATAAGGTTTTAAAATATTTATTATAGTTGTTTCTATAGGTAATTAACTTAAATTAGGAAATCAAAAAATTTTCCTCGATTTGGCCTGGGTGGGCACCCAGTAGAAAATGGGGCGGCCGCCCGAGTATAGATATTGACTTCTGTTAATGAAGTTTAGGGTCGGACAGCATAACTGAGCAACTTTCAGTGTTTTGGTCATATCTTTCTCTCTCGATATCCGATTGAGTTGTTTCAAGATGTATTGGAAAGCTAACTCAAAGGGCTACAACTTTGCTTCAGATACCATCTTCCAATTTGATTGTTTACCATGTCAAAAATGGGTCTCAAATTGAGACTGAAATCCGATGCATAACTCTTCGATTGAAAATTGATGTGTGATCCTACTTTGACGATATTTCACCGATTTGACTTCTTTCTTCATTCAATTGACTTCTAACACTCTCAAATCTTCATCATTTGGTTCGACACAACTTTTGTATATTTTCACGTTAGTTCTTGAACTTTATTTCCTTTCACTTTGGTCCTTTTTCATTTATTTCTTCCAAATTAGGTCATCTCCATTGAATTGCCACATAAATCAAAATATGTATGTAATGAATATTTTGGTATTAATTAATCATATGAGCACATAAAATAAGGAGGGAAAAATATGCATTTTGCATTGGTGAAATTTAGGGGTTGTTCTCTTTGTATTTCAGTTTTGTATTTTGAGTTTTGAATTCATTTTGGATTTTGTGTTTTGAATATCCATTTTGAGATTGTTGAAAATGTGTTCTTTTTGGTATTTTGAAAAATTGTTTTGAAAACATCAAAAACGTGTTTTGAAAATTTTTATTTGATTATGACTAAAAACACTCCAAACGACAAATTTGTCGTATTGAGTTTTTTTTGTAAATTTTTAACTTGTTTTTAAAAATTGATTTTCGAAAATAGGAAAGAAAACGCGTTTTCACTATTTTAAAAAATTGAAAACAAAAATTGATTTGAAAATGGTAAAGAGAATATACCCTTAATGTTTTGGTATTGTCATTGGAGACGGCCTAAGCCCTCAAAAAATTATTCCTTTAGACTATTGAACTCAATTCTGAAAATAAGTCTCGAATTTAGTACAAAATTCTTTTCAATTCTTGATTACATGACTAAATAATTTTACCATATCATTAAGATTTGTCATCAACATGAAGTTAAATCTTACTTTTAACTAAATTTAGCTCTTACTAGATTTTTTTTTTCTAAAAAAAAAAAAGAAAAAAAAAGCCTGCACAAACTCATACTGTCGATAGCCATACAAGCATATGCATGCATGTTCATACAGGATTTTGAATCCGATGATTTTTCAGCATTTAAAAAAGAAATAGAAAATGAAAAATCAAGGTAGAAATGAGTGAATAATGATTTGAAAAGAATCAAGGAGTCTGCACATTGGAGTCCTTGGATTTATTCTCTTCTGAAGATGGACGATTCTCCGAGTCGGATAGCCTAACCTCTTCGATCATTCTAACGACTTCGTCCATGTTTGGTCGCATGTCCGGCACCTTTGCAACACACGCCATGGCAATCTGCAGCATCTGCACCATCTCTTCTTCAATGTTTTGGAACCTCATTAACTCAACATCGAAAACTTCAGACGTCCATTCTTCCCTGACAACTGACTGAACCCACCTCGGGAGATCAACGATATCATCTCGTCCCGGTGATTGAATCGGTTGTTTTCCTGTAAGCATTTCGAGTAGTACCACTCCGAAGCTGTACACATCTGATCTGTGAGTGTGTTTCCGAGTTTCGATTACCTCGGGAGCACGGTATCCTGCCTGTCGAGATGAAGTGGCAGGAGAGTTCATGAGAGGGGCTAACCCGAGATCGGATACACAACCATCCAGTTCTTGATTCAAGAGGATGTTGGACGACTTGATGTTTCCATGAGTAAATTTAGCACCACCCACAGAATGGATATGAGCAATGCCCCTTGCTGCTCCTAGGGATATTCTGACTCTTGTACCCCAATCCAGAGGTGTTCTTCCGGCTGTCTTGTGTCCTGTTAAATTGAAACTGAGCAAATATAAGTGAAAAAAATTCATCATTCTGTCCACAGAGTAGAGCAAGAAGCCAAAACACAACCTACCAAAATGGATGATAGACAAGTTTCCTTGCTTCCGAGTTCTGAATTTGTTCTTTCGAAAGGCCATACATTGAATTCTATTGATCTAACACATTTGAAAATGACAGATTCTAGTCCAGCCGAAGATTTAAGATGCTCTAAGATTACACTGCATTCTTTCGAAAGGCCATACATTGAATTCTATTGATCTAACACAATTGAAAATGACAGATTCTAGTCCAGCCGAAGATTTAAGATGCTCTAAGATTACATTGCAGAGAAACAATTTCTAAAATACAATTGCCTTGTGAATTAAGATTCTCTCACAGGAGTAAAAGATAACAGATCCTTTTTTTTTTCTTTTAGTTTTTACATTCAACAACCAAACTTACGCTGGATTAAGTAATCTACAGTTTCGCCATTGTCTTCCGGTAATTTCTCTTCATGTTATCCACTTGGCAATTTTTTCTGTTCTCTATTCGTTTGTGAAAATTGTTGATTGGTCATTAGTTTTGTTCGACTGTTCGATTTCAAAGTAATCACTAAGGAAAACTCTCATCTTCTAGAGTAACCAACGTGCTAAATGAAACGCAAGAAAAAAGAAGAAAGGCAGAAGAAAGGAAAGGAACGAAAGGGAGGAAATTGCATACCGTGCAACACCGTTGCCAAGCTGCCATTTGAAAAATAATCATAGACTAAGAGCTTCTCGTCCTTGGAGTAATAATAAGCTCGTAAAGGTACAACATTGGGATGCTGTCCAACTCTCCCGATTATTTCCATCTGCTGTTCGAAGTCCTTCTTCCCAACAATTACTTCTTTCAATCTTTTCACGACCACTGTTGTCGACTCCTCTAAGACGGCTTTGTATGCTGTCCCAAAACTACCCTTTCCAAGAACTTCAGCAGAGGCCCGTAACAAGTCCTCAAGATCGAAATTGTAAGAACAGCCTTCGAAGAAAACCAACTTGTTCTTCTCGGGTGCTTGCACCCCGCTGCTAAACTCCTCGCTTGATTTCTCTCGACTCCCACCAACGGAAGGTTTAACTTTTGGCACTGGACTGTCATCACTTTGCTTTCTCTTACAGTAGCACAGGAGTAAAACTAGTGCTATAAGAAATAGCACTACGGCTCCTCCAACTGCAATGGCAATAATAGCTCCCAAAGTGAGTTTTTTCTTGGAACTTTGCTTCGGAGGGGCATTTGGCGGAGCTGGAAAAGTACTTGGTGAAGGAGCAGGTGGAAGAGAAGGTGAACAAGAATCTAGTGGTGGCCCACATAAGGAATTTCCAATGAATGAAGAATTTGGGAACTTCTGTAGAGACGAAGGAATAGAGCCATTAAGATGGTTGTTGCTTAGATTCAAACGTTTGAGCTGTGGAGCTAGATTGGGAATTGATCCAGAAAGAGAATTGTTTTGAAGGCTCAAAGCAGTAAGTCGAGTCAAATTCTGAATTGTTTGGGGAATTTTTCCCTGAAATAAATTGAATGATAGGTCCAAGATAGTAAGCTGAGGAGAAAAGGTAGTTGGAATATTACCGGAGAAGTTATTACGTTGGAGAAAGAGGTATTGAAGAGAAGGAAGTGAAAGAATATCAGGAGGCAAATTACCACTAAGGAGATTGGAGCGAAGACTGAGAGTCCTCAGAGCATCCAACTTTCCAAGCGTGTTAGCTGGAATTGGACCCTTAAGTCCAATGCCAGGAAGCCGCAGACGAATCACATTGTTAGCATCCGGGGTACAATTGACTCCGATCCATGAATTGCAGACTGGCATAGCAGGATTCCAGTTGAGCCTCCTACCATGTGGCACAGCAGCGGCAAATGCCAGAAGGGCTTGTTTATCTGAATTCAAGTCACCAAGAGCCAGAGGAAAAAGACTCATGGCAATGAAGAAGAAAAGAAGAAATATATTGATAGAGCAGAGTTTCATGAGGCAATCCACAGGGACACGAACGTAAAATTGCTGCAGGTACCGCCATTCTTCTGATGGAATTACAGAGACAATAATACATGGTTAGATTATCCAAACACAAAATGAGGCACCAAAAGATGATAATAAAACGAAGGTAAGACATGGAGTATTAATTTGAGTAGCAAGTAACAGTGAGCATTCACAAAAGGCACAAAATAGAAGAAAAAAAATCTGCAGATAATAAGATCAAAAATAAAAAAAATACAAATTCGTAGAACTGAAAATCTCATCAAAATTTGTAAGCAAAATGTTAAGAAATTCAACGACTATAATGTGGATATGGATGTTGATATAAGAGAAACCATTAATACCCAAAAAAAATACAAAAAATAAAAAAAATAAAAAAATCTATGTTAATGCTATTTTGAACTGAACAGCAGATTTCATAGCTTTTGGTTTCAAATGGGAAACATCTATACCTCTCTTTCAAATTATACATCACAATGTCAGGAAAAAGGGGGGNTGATGACGTCGGCTTGAGTTGGTGGTGCCATAACCTTCATAATGTTAAAAGTAGTTCGTAAAGGTTGAACTAAGTATACCAACAACAAAATCATATCTCCCCTTCAAAATGGCACTCGGATATTTTTCTTCCAATCAAAACGTATGCATTTTCTTAATTGAAAAGTGCAGTTATGCAATTAACAATAGCCTACTAGAGCTGGAAAAAGAACCACAAAAATTTGAAAATTGAAATGTAATGAATAAATCTTAAAAATCAAGTATTTTCTACTCTTTCAACACAAAAAAAAAAAAAAAA